ATATATACATACGACAATATAATTCGTATCAATTTAAAGGTCAATCACTCCTCTGGGGTATATTATCAACTTCTCGGGTCTATGTCCTTCAGGATTAAGAATATACTTTTTCACACAAATGTCAGGGTACATTTGACCCGCTAAATATTGGCCGATCTTTATCAAAACAGGTATTCTTTGGCCCGATCCCTTCTCTATGCAAAATTTCGCAATGTTCGGACCATAATTGTGGCCTCTTAAGCGTCCAGAAAACCCGAAAAAATTTCGTTTTTGGTCCATTTCATCCCCTAAATATTAACCGATCATTTCCAAAAACAATAGGGGTCTTCATTGGCCAGAACCCATCCTATATACAAAATTTCGTGAAGATTGGTCCATAACTGTGACCTGTATCGTGTTTACAAATTATAATGGACAGACACACATGCCTAGATGCAGCCTTGGGGCTGCACAAAGCTATAATATCCTGACAACATAGTTGTGCAGGGTATAATGACAACATAGTTGTGTAGGGTATAAAAAAAAAGTGAGCGGACCAGGGGCGACCATATGATACCCTACACAACTTCCACGAAAATCTAACTTTCTGTGGTTTTATATTTTGAGCATGGGCAATATTTCGCGATATTTGCACCCTCTTGCCCGACTAGAGGTCAACAAATATTACTAATATTTAGTAGAGGAGGGTTGTACTTGTCCAGATTCCCTTAACCGTGGTTTCATTTCATTTCAATATAATATCAGATCATCGCCGAAAATTATAAGCGTTGTCTTTGACCATAATTGCAACTTCAAATTTTAAAGCGATCATGGCTATATATCCGCCCTCCATTGTGTTAAGGGGTACTAAATAATATATGAATACGAAAGCACCTATAAATATTTCAGCGTAACTTCCACATCCGACTACATACGACAATATAATTGGTATCAATTTAAAGGTCAACCAATCCTCTTGGATATATTACCAACTTCTCGGGTCTATGTCCTTCAGGGTTAAATATATACGCTATAGAATACAAATTTTGTAATTTTGCACACAAAGGACAGGGTCCATTTGACACGCTAAATATAGACATAGCTTTATCAAAACAGGTATGCTTATTCTTCTTCATATATAAATTCGCTATGCTTGGGCCATAATTGCGGAGTCTGGAGCGACCAGAAAATCAGACAAAAATTAAGTCCCCTAAATATTAATTGATCTTTACCAAAAATATAGGCGACTTCATTAGCCAGAACCTATTCTACATGCAAAATTTCGTGAAGATTGGTCCATAACTATGGCCTGTATCGTGTTTACAAATTATAATGGACAGAGGGGACGGACACACATGTCTAGATGGTTTCAGCTAGTCGAGATAGGAAGATCGGTATACTTAAAGATGGGTCTAGGACCAATATTTCGCGGCGTTACAAACTCTTGGGGCTGCACAAAACTATACCAACCTAATATTTTCAAGGTCAATAATTGATTTTTTTTATTTCCGAATAATTGTGAATTATACACCATGATCTTACCAAATGCGTTTCGGACAAGTTGGAGTCGATTTGCAATTGTCCGTCCGTCCGCCTGTTTGTCTGTCTGACCGGCAGGTGCGTAAGATAACTCACGAGATAATTTAATTACAACCGAACCAAGTTATGTCCGAAGATTAATCAAATATCAAGCGAATTTAATGTAATGGGAAGGAGTGAACCGAGAAATATATTAAAGGCTGGGTAAAAATATTATGTCGTGCAAACTTAAGTTCAAATAGGATACTCCGCACGTTTTATATTATAAAATTGGTTTTTAAATAAGATTTTAGCATTTTACTAAAAATTAAAAAAAAAATATATGGGCAATATTGCCAATTTTTTAACATAGCTGAAGCGGAGGTTCACCCCTTTATAACTCGGGAACTACTTAAGTATATGAAAAAAAGTGAATAGTTTTGGGTTAATTGATCTGTCCTTGCAAACTGTTCATGCTTTTATTTATCTTGGTGGAAGCTGTGTCTACTTTAATGTAAACAAATGTGTAAAAACAGGTTGAGGCGAACCAGTTTTTTTATGTTCTCTATCGATTTGTGACTAAGCCACTCATTGCACGGCCTTCGTGTCAAAATAAAACTAGAAGCCAACAAAATGGGGACTACGCCCCTTATGTATCATTTTTCAAAATTTTAACTGCATCTACCTTTAAATGATGCTGACATTTTGAAGCTCGATTTTGAGTGTTTTTTGAATTTTAGTTCTAGCATTAATACGCGAACAGGAATTTCTAAAAATCGATTATACGATTATTGTAGTCACGAATCTGCGTAATTTGATATGTATTTTGTGTATGTAGCATGCACAGCTTCAGAGTAATACTCATCCGAAGGTGCGAATTTTGTGCGATCAAATTTCTAAAAAACCTATTTTTCGGGCCAAATTTTTAGATCTGTCAACTGAATGATATGGGTACCCGCGATCAATAAGGTTTTTTCCGTTTCGGATGATATAAAATCTTCTTCGTGAAAATCCATCTACTAGAACGGCGGGAACTGGCCTTCCAAAAACACGAAATTTGGCAAAAAATGTTTTTGAAAATATCGCGGATTTATTTGCGTTTTCTGTGTATCATTTCCGCTTCAATAAATGACCTCATACGGATTTTGATCTTTTTCGAAAAGAGAACTTTAAAAACTTCAGCCGAAAGAGAGATGTACCCAATTTATCTCAAAAATAGTGTGAGCTGCACATCCATGGTTCTTAATGGACCACATTGAAATCGGTATAGATCGATGTATTTTTTTAGGGTGAACACCGAAATCGGATGCGCGTTAATGGCATATGGAGTTTTCGGAAATTATTCGCGTTTTACGATTTTTTGGGTACTTCAATGTAACATGCGCACATCTTAGCCGTCAAATAAAATTTCGCAAAATATATATGGATTGGAAGATAAACTTCAGTACTTCCTGGAAACCGCATGCGCATCAAATGATTTTGAGAATTACGCGATTTACACGCAATTTAAAATGTATATTTCATAATATTATTTTATTTCAAGATTTATTCCTATTTATAGAACCCTAAGATTTATCGGAAGGGTCTTGATATAATCCTCAAGGCGTATACTTATACACAAAAAGTGATTATTATTATATATGTCAATTTTTCGGCGAAATTCGGTTAAAATAGCAGAATAACCCAAACATTTTTTTCTGAAATTTCTTGTATACAATTAAAAAAATTAATATGATGGCATTATTTTTTCGAACCAAAAACAAATAATTTTCCCCAATATCTTGTTTTGTTGTCGCTTTGATTTAGAAACCGCTACACGGACTTGTGTGATTTTGATATCATTTGATTCACCATCGTGTTTAGATTATGTACATATTTTTAAATTAATTTTTAGGATGATACATGACATTGATATAATGAAAATATTGATGTAATCTCCTATATTTTTTTATTTTTCTCATATTTCGCGAAGATGTGCACCTTTTTCGCGAATATTATAATATATTCATATTCTTATTTTACGGAGGAAGATATATATCAACGTTTTTGGTCAATATAATAAACGGCGTAATTTTAAGATTTTTTTCTTATGCCCAAAATTAAAACCTCGATAACTTTTGCGCGCATCAACCAAAAATTTGATCGCGAACGGTTTCGGAGTCAGAACATTTTTCTCTATATGCGTACCAAAAATCATAGATGTGCCACAAAAACAAAAAAGCTGATTTTTTGAAAATGGAATATTAAAAAATTGGCAATATTGCCCATATATTGTAATAAATCTACGCTTTGTTTTAATGCATTTTTTTTGTTGTTGTTATAGAATCCATTAGTTTGATAAAAACATATACCTGTCGAGTTCCTTGCTCTATGTATGTATGTGTGTGTGTATATAAGAAGGTGTTTGACATTTTCCCAGAAAGCTAGTAGCTGATGTGCGAATGTAAAATGCACTTCTCTTCCAGTTAGCAGAAAAAATCATAGCTGTTCATCGTTCAGAAACATGCTCTATGTTATTTTTTTCTCATTTTATTGCAACCTTATTCTAGTGAAAAATATTATGTGTGTTCCATTTTTATGGAAAATAATTTACCAAATGGCTTTATTAAATATTAACATGATGATGTTTTTTTTGTTATTTATATCTGACAAGTAAAATAAAAAATAATATATAAAAAATTATTTTTAAAAAGTTATTGCAATAATTTTTAAATTGCATATAATTGGTGGGGAAATTTTGGAATGAGAGGTCAGTGGGATTGAATTGAATAATTTTAACCAAATGACCATCCACCTTAATTAGGAAATTATTAGTAAACAATGAAGAAGAAGAACAACATTGCTGATTCCAAGAAAATGCTACCAAGTTGCAGCTCAGGCCGTGTAACAGAAATATATTTTTTTGAAATATTATTTTTTTTTTATAATATGTATTTCCAGACATTTTACAAAATTTACAGGGTTATATACGTATATTTAAACCATTCAGTTATTGTCATTATATACTGACCACTGACAATAATTGTATGTAATAAAATATATGTGATTTTATCAACATCGTGGCTGCAAGCCAAAACTTTTCATTAATATACAAAATTGTCACCCTATTAATGTCAATTAAATATTGTAAATAAACAATTCCGAAATAAATGCAATTAAAAAGCACGATATTGCCACTTGCAAATGTTTACTGGCGAAACGAATAAAAATAAATGAGGAGATAGCGGAGTGGATTTAAAAAAGATATTATTTCAATATCCCAAAACAAATATTTTTCAACATCCCTACATAGACATGGATTATTATTTTTTTTTTCAAAATTTCAACATAGGCATCGATTTTTATAACCTTCACCACACTGTGGTACAGGGCATTGTTTCTTTTTTTGCATATGTTTGTAACAGGCAAAAGGAAACGAGATAGACACATGGTTCCTTTTGAGAATATGCCTAGAATCACTTTCTAAGTCCATTTATGCATGTCCGTCCGTCTGTCTGACCATGTTTAAGGTTACTTTTTACTTATATTTCTTCGTAAACAGAACGATACTTTAGTTTTTAAACGTATTACATTTCGCCTAATTTAGACTGCAGCCTTTTCGATCAATTTGAACCAGTGACCGCATTCACAGCGTTTGGGAGTACCCTTTTGAAGCCACATCCATTGGACGTAGGTTTGATCTTCTTCGCAGATGCAACCAACAATACGGGCGTCAAAAGCGGAAGGTATCAGGTTGGGGGTTTCCTTTGTGCCAGCACCACGCTTGAAAACTTTCATGTCGAAGGGATTATCGTTGCCGGCGGCCTTGGCCAACAATTCACGCTTTTCAATACCAGTAGCATGTTCCATGGGATCGTTCATCATCTTGCAGAAGCGAACTGGAATGTATGTGACATTTTGACGTGCACGCAGAGCCACGCATCCACAGATAGAAGCCATTTTTATGTTTATTTGCGGATTTTTTTTAAACTTTTAATAAAACTAAAATTTCGCAATTTCCACATATAGTCCTATATAATTGGAAATTTTGCAAAGCGTACTGAATTAAGCCTAGAACGATGTGTGTTAAATATCGTGGTTCAGATTTAGATATAGCTCCCATATATATTTTCGTCCGATTTTAGGTAAATAGTGCAACAAAGTCCCTATATATCCTTCGATTTGCACGAAATTTGGCATAACGCACTGAATTAAGTCTAGAACGATGTGTGTTAAATTTCCTGAAAATCGGTTCAGATTTAGATATAGCTCCCATATATAGTTTCGTCCGAGTTTAGGTAAATAGTGCACCAAAGTCCCTATATATCTTTAGATTTGCACGAAATTTGGCTAAGCGTACTGAGTTAAGTCTAGAAGGATGTGTGTAAAATTTCGTGAAAATCGGTTCAAATTTAGATATAGCTCTCATATATATTTTCGTCCGATTTTAGGTAAATACGAAATTTGGCATAACGTACTGAATTAAGTCTAGAACGATGTGTGTTAAATTTCCTGAACATCGGTTCAGATTTAGATATAGCTGTCATATATATTTTTGTCCGATTTTAGAAAAACAGTGTACCAAAGTCCCTATATATCCTTCGATTTGGACGAAATTTGGCATAGCGAACTGAATTGAGTCTATAATGATGATTGGTAAGTTTCGTGAAAATCGGTTCAGATTTAGATATAGCTCCCATATATAGTTTCGTCTGAGTTGAAGTAAATAGTGCACCAAAGTCCCTACACATCCTTCCTTTATATCATTTGGCATAGCGTACTGAATTAAGTCTATAGCGTGTATCAATGTTGATAAAAAACGTTTTCCATAAATTTGTCCCATGGTACGCAGATGACTCTAAATCTGCCCGAATGAAATTAAATTTTTCACAGGTTGCAGAAAGACATGCGTTTGTTCCATCGAGGGAACATTGACTTGCAAATGTAAGAATACATATGCGCAATATACCCAAAGTGGGGAAGGGTATCATATAGTCGGCCCAGTCCGACTTTACTTCTTTCCTTACTGGTTTTTATAATATTTTATTAAGGTTCCAACATATCGACATAAACATAGATGGGGTGATAGCGTGGATCCATAGGTCATTAATAAAATATTATTAAGGACCTTCCATATGTGTCGATTTTTTAAAAAATATTTTATTAAAGACCTTCCATAGGAGTGGATTTTTTTGAAAAAACATATTTTGTTAGTATATCCGACAAATATTTCGTGGTGATTGTCGAATTTTAACTAATATCCAAGCGACAACCCTACCACCAATAATAATCTACAGAAAATGATACTGCAATTAATTGCTTCCGTTCAATATGTCAATATTGCACAATTATTGAGTGAAAAGTGGTCGATGTGGTTATTGACGATGTCATTAGCGTTGCTAACCAACCATCCGACCAAACCAAACGAAACCAATGTTGTAGCTGCCTGCAACATCAGCTATGTGTGGGAATGTGTCAAAAGAACGAAGAACGGTAAATAAGGAATATTTGATTACTTAATTTACTTCGCAATTTTGTTGATTGAAAATTACCTTGAATTTTGTAATTAAATTCGGTTCGAAATGTAAATTTATTAATTGAGGCAACCAAAAGAAATTAAGAAAGTTGACAAAATAAAAAAAAAAAAAAAAACGCAAAATATGGCAAAGTTAAGTGAAACGATTTGGCTTTCAATGAGAACGCAAAATTGAAAATAAGACCAAATTCGATTGAAAAACGAAGGCAGGGGTCAATACAGATTAGTATTTTTATACAAATCTAAATTAAAACCAGTAGGACTTGGCCGACTATATGATACCCTTAACCACCTTGGGTATATTTTACATATGTATCCTAACAGACGTCGCGTGTTTGTTATATATCTATATTTGAATTGGTTTCCGGAAAACTTGCCAGAAACTAATTTATATTACTTCAGTACGCTGTGTCAATCGGCCTGCCTATGGATATTTTCACGCAGCTTAGCAATATCATTCTAGACTTGATTCAGTACCCTTTACCAAAATTCCTACAAATCGAAAGATATATAGGGACCAGTTACATAAAATCCTGATGAACCGATTTTCACGAAACTTTGCACACATCATTCTAGACATAAGGGACCCCACCCATTCTCGATTTTATTTTTTTTAATTTTTTTTAAAATAATTTACAAAAAATTTTTGTTATTGCTTTGTTGTTGTTTTTTTGCAATTAAAGAAAAGTCCTTATTTTTGATGGCGGGCATGATAACTCCTCACTGGAACATCGGAATCCGAAAATTCCAACGGTGTTAGAAAGAGTACATGTCTGACTCTCGTATGAACTAGGATTATTGACTTCGCTCTAAACTTAATAAATTGGCGGACATTTGAAAAAATATTTTTCGAAAATCGCCGATTTTTGACCAAAAATCAAGTTAAAAAATAAGGAAGATCTTCACCGATTGGCTTTATCCTAGTTCGTACGATAGCTATACACTCACAGAGAAACGTGTAAAAATTTGGAATCGATTGGGTTATTAGTTTTTGAGTTATCGTGCCCGCCATTCGCAAAAGAGAAAAACGCGTTTAAAGTTTGAGAAGCCCTTTAGCCGTCACTTGTTGCTGACACAATAAATCGGCTATATCTTCAAGAGTTTCTGAGATTTTCACGTGAAATTTTGTAGAGACATTCTTGAATTAGTGTAGAATCGAATTAAATCAAAAAAAAAATCAAAATTTTGACCCCGAGAATGGGGGGGTCCCCTTAATTCAGTATGTTATGCCAAATTTCGTGCAAATCGACAGATATATAGGGTCTTTGATGCACCAATTACCTTAAATCGGATGAAAATATATATGGGAGCTATATCTAAATCTGAACTGATTTTCACGAAACTATGCCAAATTTCGTGCAAATCGAAAGATATATAGGGACTTTGGTACACCATTTACCTTAAATCGGACGAATATATATATATATATATATATATATGGGAGCTATATCTAAATCTGAATCGATTTTCACGAAACTTTGCACACATCATTGTAGACATAATTCAGTACGCTGTGCCAAATTTCGTGCAAATCGTAATATATATATAATATATATATATGTAAATCGGACGTAGATATATATGGGAGCTATATCTAAATCTGAATCGATTGTCACGAAACTTAACACACATCATTCTAGACTTAATTCAGTACGCTATGACAAATTTCGTGCAAATCGAATGATATATAGGGACTTTAGTGGAATATTTATCTAAAATCGGGCGAAATTATATATGTGTGCTGTATCTAAATCCGAGCCGATTTTCACGAAACATAACACACATCATTCTAGACTTAAATCACGCTATGCCAAAATTCGTGCAAATGAAATGATTTCCAGCGACTTTGGTGCACCACTTACCTAAGTCGTGCGAAAATATATATGGGAGCTTTATCTAAATCTGAACCGATTTTCACGAAACTTTACACATATCATTCTAGACTTAATTCAGTACGTTATGTCAAATTTCGTGCAAATCGAAAGATATATAGGGACTTTGGTACACCATTTACCTTAATTCGGACGAAAATATATACGGGAGCTATATCTAAATTTTAACCGATTTTTACGAAACATTACACATTTCATTCTAGACTTAATTCAGTACGCTAAGCCAAATTTGGGCCAAACAATATATAGCTGTGCCCAATTTCGAAAATATATATGGGAGCTATATCAATTTGGATCATAAGTTCGTCCTTGGGCCAAACAAATGAGCTGTGCCCAATTTCGTCCAATTTGGATCATAAATTCGACCTGTACTTTCTTTACAATTTAACATGGACAGACGGACGGACGGACGGGAGGACATGCATAAATCGACTCAGAAAGTGATTCATGCATATTCTCAAAAGGAACCATGGGTCTATCTCGATTATTTTTGCCTGTTACAGACATATGCACACAGTGTGGTGAAGGGTGTAAAAAATACAGCTCCATCTTAAATATTACGAGTTCCGTATTAATGTCAACTGGCTAAAATTTTATACTTTTCGTGAATATACTCATATCGGTATTCGGTGAATATGGCCCTTGAAGAAATAATCTTTTTAAAAATCTATTGTTATAACATTTATATTTCTAAAAATGAACCTATTTTCCCCCAGCTCCCATTTATGTTACATAACGAAATATTAGGTGATAATGATAGCCTTAAATAAAATTAGCAAAAAAACTAAAGTTTTCCCACCTACGAACATCATAATTTTTCTAATAGCCATTTGTTTTCTTTTAACCCATGGTCACCATTGTTCTATTAAATAATTTACAAAGAAGTCCAGGTTATTACGAAAATTTTCTCTAACATCATTGTTTGTTTCTTTTTTTAAATACTTAATTTTTCATTTACGATATTCTTTTTCTGTGGAAAAAAAACTTTTTCAATTTCATTTTAAAAGTTTTTGAAAAATGTTAAGTTCAATGGAATTCTCTGGAGATTCATTACCTTCTACTTCTTCTTTGTCTAATGTAAGCAACAAATTTTCTTCAGCTTTTTCTAATTTCTTTTGTTGTGGTTTGAGGTTGTTGCTGTGGTTACTTCGGCCATTGCTGCATATTGTCGGTTGTTAGTGGCTCCACTTAAGTGCTGTCCTTTCAGGTCAATGAGCGTCAGAGGAAACATTTTTAAATTGCTTTCATTATAATAATTTAGGGGAACAAATATGAGAGGGAAAGGCAATCAACGAACCCGGACCCAAAATATTTTTTAAATAACTTTACACCTGTATAATGTTTTCAAAAAATATAGCATATGCCGCCTACTTCGTTAGCGAATGTGGGATATATTTAAACATGTATTAACATATTATTTTATTTTCACAGAAAACTGCATGTGTCAGTAAAACTAAACTATCCACACATTAATATCGACGATAAATTAAGTTTGAGTACCATTTAGTACCAAATTTCATGATTCGAGTTCCACAGGATAACCCAAA